GGCAATGTGTGTGTGTCCCGGGGTGGGTGCTCATTGCAAATTCAATACTCTACAGCACTTGAGGGCACTTAAAAAATTGGCCTGGCACGTACTGTTTGCATTTTCTTACCTGGATATGCATGCTCTCCAATATAACGCCGTTCATTACATTTTTACACCAGCACTCCACTATTACCAACTGACAGCCTGCATCATAAAGCCGCCATTTTGTATATCCTCTGCGACCATGCAATATTGGCCCCTCCTCTCCCCTCCCCCTTAACCTACCTTTATGGTTGAGTGCTGTGATATTTGCAGTGTTTTGTTCCCTCAGATGTTGAAAATCGCGTTAGCGACCTCTTAGTATACCCTTTTCAGAGACAGATAATTGTACACCAGCATATTCGTTCGACTCTTACTGATTTTATTTTTATGTTCTTAAAAATCTGACCACCGGTAAGCCATAGGGTAGGCCACAGGGTAAGCCATGGCCTAGGCCAGGTTTTGTCCACACCTGAAGTTGCTTTAATTTTAGTAATAAAAGGCTGCACTTACTCACTCTGTTAATGCTCATTTTGCCCACTGGCTCTACTGGTATCTGGGGAAGCAATAATGGTCTTTCACTGCTGCTTGCCTTTGGCTAGATTTCGGGTTTTATTTCAGCTTCTAGATTAATGCTGCTAATTGTTGTTAGTTCTACCATTCTTGTGCCTGCCTTTGGGTTTCCAATGTATTGCTGTCTTGGGGATGGAACCATTTTCCTTTCTGGTGGCATGGTTTTCCTCATGGAGCACATTTCCATGGTTACATTACTCATACCCTGGTTGCCATCTCCTCTGATGATACATGTGGCATGGATCTTCATCTTCCTGTTAGGGTCACAATGTTTATTATGATGAGGTAAGTCTTTGCAGTAGGCTGTCTCTGTGCACACTGACAAAAGTCCTTTGGAAATCTACAAAGTTAATGTATAACCGCCTCTCCCATTCTGTGTTCTAGTCAATAATTTTCTGTATTGCTGGTAGCTGGTCAGAACAACCCTTGTGGTAAACAGACTGTTCTCTCCTTGGCTGCTCATTTACTTCTAAATGGCAACCTTGGCCAGGTTTTACCTGTGACATGATAGTGGTGCTGGACCAGTTATATATACACCTAGAGCCCGAACACGGGTATGTCCACAGTTTTCCTCTGTTCAGCTCTACTACGAGCTCTTCTCTTTTCATAATCCTGGACCCTCTTAGAGTTGTATGTGAGTGAGTCTCTTCCATTCGGCTCTGTTGTTCGCAGTTGAAAGCCACTGATCTAAGACATGGCCACACTTCAATGCCCTTTTGCAGGTGTCCTTGAAACGAAGCTTGGGTCGGCCTACTGGGCGAGCACCATGGGCCAACTCACAGTAGAGGAGCTGCTTTACTAGCCTATCATTGTCCATTTCACTAACATGTCCTAACCAGCGTAGGCGAGTCCTACCAACATCACCTCCACGTCTTCAACGTCGGCACGTCGCAACACCTCTTCATTGCTGATGTAATCGTTCCATTTGATGTTTAAGTTAAGATGTAGATGATGCTGTTGTATTGTACGGAGCTGCCTGACTTCATGTTGATATAAAGTCTAAGTTTCACTGCCATGCATCAGAAGGGGCGTTAGGCATTGGTTGTAGACAGCAACTTTAGTTGGAGCTGTTAGATCCTGCGAGTCGAACACTCTTTTGTGTAGTTGACCAAATGCACAAGACGTTGCTTGAGTACGAGATGCAAGTTCCTCCTTCATAGAGCAGTCACCGCTGACATACTGTACTTACCCGTGTATAATGCTCACCCATGTTTAATGTGCACCCTTGTTTTAAACCTAATTTATCAGAAAAAAGTTTTTCATGGCAAAAAAGACAAGTTAAATGTTCGTACAATTATTTATCAAGACAACTAGAATAAGAAATTTTCTATATTGTTAACATCAACATCTTTTGCTACTTAGTTATTTATGACATTATTGAAATCAAACTTTAGGACTTTAAGCGAGGCCTAGCTAATTTGACTATCCCACGGTGAGCAACAATTTGATTTTGTGTCATATCATTGTATTTTTAGAATTTTCAAACGAGCGCTATGCAATTTTCTGGCCGTAAAGTTAAGTAAACAACAATATAACCATGATGAATTCCACTGTGTTCCCTTTGTGTACACATAAGAAATTCGCACATTTTTTGCTTATGACAGCAAATCAAGAACTGCTTTAAATAAAGCTTTTGTCCTGAAATGTTTCTCACTCACTTTCTTCTTGGTTCTCATTGAAAAATTCCATGTAACATGAGATTTCTTCACATGCGGCCAAATTTGCATATTCACTTTGAAATCTGATCCGCGTGCCTGTTTGCACACTTGCGAAAATATTTAGCAATTTTTGTCTTTCCTCTTGATTTTAGACTAAAAACTTAATATGTACCTATAACTTTTTGTTGAAAATAAGTTATTTAATCAAAGTTTTAAATGTGTTACTTTTTGTTGTTGTTGTGTTTTTAATGTATGCAAATTAGGACGTGCGTGACAAACAATGGAATCCCTGTTTAATACACACTGCGATTTTGATGGTTATTTTTGTAGAAAAAAAGTGTGCATTATACATGGATAAATATGGTAGCTGCCAAGGTACTTGAAACGGGTGACGTTAGCTAATTTAGTACCATCTACGAAGAACTCAGCTGTGTTACCAATACACAGAGTCTCTGTTTTAACCGTGTTGATGCACAGGCCCATCCTCCTAGCAACAACGTTGTAGGAGGTCAAAAGCGATTGCAGACCCTCTGGTGTGTCACTAAAATAGCAATGTCGTCAGCGCACGGAGCTTCTCTAATAAACTCTGTAAGAACTTTGGTTTTTGCTTTGAGTCTGCGTAGGTCAGAAAGATCTCCATCCTAACGTAACCTGATCTGTACACTGCAGGTGTGTTTGATTTTCTTGAAAGTGAGCCAGAGTAAGACTGCTGCGCAGATGCCAAAGAGTGTTGGAGCTAGTTTGCACCCCTGCTATTGTATTCAAGGGATTGGGTCAGTTCACCATCAACTACAAGTCTGGTGTGTATATCTGTATATAGCTTCTTGCTGATTCTTATAACCTTTGGCAGACAGCCAAGTTTGCCAAGGATGATGAAAAGAAGCTCATGATTGACAGTGTCAAACGCCTTGAAAGTCCACAAAGGCTATGTACAAGCATCTGCGTTGCTCTCTTGTTTTTTCCATCAGCTGGCAAAGCGTGAAGATTTTGTCTATTGTACGTCTTCCGTTACGGTACCCTGACTGCGAGTGGGGATACATAGATTTTGCTAACAGGTGTAGCCTCTGCAAGATGACATCCGCAAATACTTTTCCAACAGCACCGGGTAGCAATATACCTCTATAATTGCCGCAATGACTTCTGTTGCCTTTTTTGAACAATATGGCGATGTTCGCATCTGTCCAGTCCAATGGAATTATCTCTGTAGTCCAGCAGATGTTAAAAAGGACTAGCAGGAAAGCTCTCAATCGACGTCCACCATTCACAAGTATTTCAGGAAGAATGCCATCAGGACTTGGGCTCTTTCCAAGTTGGGTGTTTCTGAGAGCTTGATCAAGTTCTTGTTCTTCAATTGGGCGACTCATTGATTCGATGACTGGAAGCTGGTCTATACCATCGACAATGGTCAAGTCAGCATCAGTTGGTTGGTTTAGTAAGTTGCTGAAATGTTTAACCCATCTGTCTTTTATCATATCAGGGACAGTCAGGAGCTCACCACCTTTGGATTTCACTGGATGAGAGATGTTTTTGAGCTCTCTAATGCATCTTCTCAAAACATGCCTGTCCATATTCTTATCTTGAAGGAGTTGTTGAATTGCATCATCCTGATCATCGAACCAGTCGTTATGCACTCTTTTCTTTTTGCCAAAGACATTGGCAGCAGCGTTCTGGAGAACAACTCTGAGCTCGTCAAAGTCAGTGTTACAGGTGGACAGCTTCTCATCCAGAAACTTTTCTAGCAATACTTTCTTGTCATCATTTAAGCGTGTGTCTAGCTTTTTGGAAGGTCTTGTACCTCTCTTCTTTTTCTTGATGGAGAAGAGACACTTCGTCATCTAAGCGTGTGTCTAGCTTTTTGGAAGGTCTTGTACCTCTCTTCTTTTTCTTGATGGAGAAGAGACACTTCGTCATCTAAGCGTGTGTCTAGCTTTTTGGAAGGTCTTGTACCTCTCTTCTTTTTCTTGATGGAGAAGAGACACTTAGATGTGAGGAGCTCATGATTGGCGAAGCAGTTTGCTGCATGATTGACTTTTGTCACTGTAACATAATTATGGCTTTGCAGCTGTGTTGGGTAGTACATCGTCAAGCTGATGCCATTGCTTTGAACAAAGGTGTTGTCATGTGTTCTTTAAGCTGTCTTTCAGTTGGAACATTGTGCCCATGAGGCTTAGTTGAAATCTGGTGCAAAATTCCAAGAGCATGAGGCTGTTGAAATTCGGCTTTCCAACACCACGTTTCCCGATGACACTTGGCCATGATTTCCAGTCTGAGCCCACACGAGCATTAAAATCATCCAAAATGATAACGCTGTCCATTTCGGCAGCTGATGCACAGCTACCGAGCTTTTCATGGAACTGTTCCTTTTCTTCCTGCAGTCTTTGCATGGTTGGTGCATAAATACTAATGAGTGTTAGATTGTTAACACCCTTTAGCTGTATGCGCATTGACATGAGTCTGTCACTGATTGGTCTAGGGCTAATACTTTGAGTACCTAGCCTCCTCTCCTCCACTCCAGAAAATTGTATGACTCCTCTCGACTGTGTTTCCCATGCCAGGTCGCCGAACTTCACTTAGAGCACAGATGTTCATGCCCGCTTTCTCTAATTCATGACAGATGGGGGCAGTTGATCACTCTGGTCTTATTGAAGAGTCACTGTTGTTGGTCGTGTGAACATTCCAGGCTCCCAGGTTAAGATGTTGTTTATTTTGGGCATTGGAATTAGAGAGTAGATGGTGTTGTTCATTGGCTACCACGGACATGGTAGCAGTATACGGACTTCGTCCACTTGTCGCCACTGCCGTATCAAATGGTGCATTGGTTCCCCCAGATGCGATAGCCATACCTTCACTCCTTGTCTGTACTTCTGTTTAAACTGTGGGGCTGCACCTATGATGATGACACTGCTTGGCACATGGGCAGCTTCCCTTGGCGAGGTACTCTGTTGATTGATGACACAGCAAAGCTGAGATGGTCGCAGAGAAGCTCATTGCATACTGTTAGTACTGGAGCCGAATTGACTGTCAGGACTGCCATTGCTGGAGCTGAAGCCGAGTTGACTAACGGGACCGCCTTGCAGGATGCCTGTTGGCTTGCAAGGAGCTCATCCACCCTTTAGCAGGTGTTGTTTTAAGTCCTGCAAGGGTGACATGCCACCCTCCTCACCAGAAAAAAGCTGGTGAGGGGAGCCAGTTTAGACACCGACCACCCATCCATGCGGCAGGTTGTACTGGGTTACATAGTACCAGTAGCAGACTCCGTGTCTGACCTGATCAGCTACTGTGGTCATTTTTGACACCTTGGTCGGGGATTTTTATGATCATGTCTTAATGTTCAGTAATTTGATTCTTCCACTGCCACCATCACCATTGTAAGTAGGACTGCAGGATCCATTCTGAAAGCTTAGAGTCACCTTTGGAAAGCTCTGCATTCAAGTTGTTTTGGCTTGGAGCTTTACCTGTTCTTTCATGGCTGTAATGATTTCCTTTTTGTTTGGAGTAACTTCCTTTAAGGCACTCTCTTAAACTAATGTCAGGAGGTTTGTTGAGGGCATCTTTTAAGTGCTCTTTCAACATACATCCCATTGTTTTTAATTCTTTTTACTTGTGGTCTAACCTTTGCAACCTTTATGGGGGCTTCATTTTGAACTGTATTTCATACAAATTTTTATGGTGATTTTGTATGTTTCCCTGTAGTTGTATGGTTGTTTATTAACTCTTGCCACTTTGTAAGAGAGGGTATTGTACGTATCATATAGGTAGACTCAGGGATGTAGCACAGAAAGGAGAAAGTGCTTTAAAGATAGACAAGTGATTTCCTCTTTCCTCCCTAGAATTCACAACAGTCATGACAAACTTATTCTCAGGCACAGTAGCTTACTGATGACTTAGGATTGTTCTTAAAAATGAATTCTACATGCAAATGTGTTATTAGTTGGTACTTGAGTGCAATTTTGGTTTTGTTGTTTATGGCTCAAAATGTCAATTGCTCATTGAGGCCTGTAGTATTACAAGAGATGTGGTCACAATCTCAAGCACAGAATGAATGTCATTTCATGTATTAACAATAATTTTTCCTCCACTACTCAACCAGCCAAGCCACCGCACTGTTTATTAAACACCAAATTGATGTGCTTACAAAAGTCTTTTACGATTGAAGGAAACTAAATGCACCAAAGCTGGATGCGAAAACCCCTAAAAACCAGCAGGTGGAAAAAACGGGGAACATGTACCCCCAACCAAGGCAGTGGTGTTTTAGGGCATCCTATAAATGACATGTTATACATAGTTACTTAAGGTAGTATGCAAGTACAGCTCTAAATTTAAACAAAAAAGGAAACGTGGAAGGCTGACCATTATCACAGATTAAATTTTCTATGACACTGAAAGGCAACTTCCCTGTGAGCCACTTGGTTAAGTTCTCCTACACCTGGCCCCTCCTGTCTGGCATACAAGAAACTAATTGGTCTGTCACGGTAAAACCACTGCAACTAGCAATTTCTGATGAAAATAAGTTTAACTTTTATAAATGGTGTAAAATGGTTGAACTCAAATCAAGCTCATTGTTTCTTTACTACACGAGAGTACTCATAGCAGATCCTTTGCCACCCACAACTCACAACCCTTAAACAGTAGCTACTCCCACAGATATTGTGACTCGTATGTGGATGCAAAGAAAAGATAAAAAATATAACTGATAGAAATACAAATCATGGCCTTAGTAACCATAATTATTTTGGTTACGATGAATATATGAAGTTAATAATTATATTTTGAACTGCAGTTATAGATACGTATGATGCACGATCCTCGCAGTAGAGAGCGCTATTTATGCAATAGCGAAAATCAGACCTGAAAAAAAAAAAATCAGGCCTGTACAGGATTCGAACCACTGACCTCTGCGATACTAGTGCAGCGCTCTACCAATTGAGCCAACAAGCCAACTGGGAGCAGGCCGTTAAGTTGATTCGTAATAAACCAGTGAAGATAAATCAGATACGATATGAACTTCATATATTCATTATAAATTATCTGATTTATCATCACGGGTTTATCACGAATCAACTTAACGACCTACTCCCAGTTGGCTTGTTAGCTCAATTGGTAGAGCACTGCGTTAGTATCGCAGAGGTCAGTGTTTCAAATCCCGTACAGGCCTGATTTTTTTCAGGTCTGATTTTCATTATTGCATAAATAGTGCTCTCTACTGCGAGGATCGTGCATCATACATAATTATTTTCTTAGACAAATCCTATTTTTGCTGACATTGCTATCCAAATAGCATATGCTCAGTTGTCATGGCCAAAGTTGAATTGACAAAATATCTTTTTGTTTAGATTCTTTCTAACATAAGCAAGCAGGGATTCAGTTGCCTTTCTGATGTGCATGAGTACTTCAATACATGTTATGTTGCTGGTCTTCTCCCAAGAAATTTTGACCTTTCCAAGCCACAGGACAGAACTGTAAGTATTATTTAGTAAAATAATAATTGTGATGATTTCTGTACACCATGGGGCTTTTAAACCAAGAGAAGAAGGTTGAAAGTGAAGAAATCAGTACTCTTAAGATGAACAGTTCATAATAGGAACAAGATGCCCTAAGGCATTGTTATTTTCCGTCATTTAAAGCCTAACTTTAAGGGGATGGAGGTAGCAAGTGAAGCCTTCAATTACTAAAAGTAATTTTTCTTAGGGTGAGATTGGAATAGCATTTAAACAGTTAAATTAGCTTATGGACCAATTTTTGTATGGTGAGTTTCTTTCTTAAAGGTTCTCTTGAGTCATAATTACAGTTTTGGTAGAGTAGCTTTATGTTGTGTAGAGCTTGGCACATTTACATATGTTGTTTGATTTCTGTTAGTTTCACTATGGGGCTCTTCTCTCAGTTGCCTTAGAGCATGGCTTGGTGACTTTCATCACATTGTGCATTCAGAAACTGGGGGCAGGAAGTAAGTTGAATATCTGATTTAAGTTCATTTCTCTGCGTGAAAAAATCAGAACTATGAAATACTCAAAACTATACCGTGCCCAAAATAGGATACTTTTTTTTATATTTTTCCTCATTATGCTTGAGTAGCATGATAAGGAATCCTCTCTTGATTTGTGCAAGTCTTGCACAGCAGCAGTAATGAAAATAATAAGGTGAAAAATTGGATAGGATAGCAATACATTGTGTGATGATATACACGAAAAATTGCATGTGTCTGACTGGCTGAAACGAGTCCGTTTTTCATGTACCAAGAGTGCAAATTACAAATAGTGTGAAGCACTGTAAAAGTTCCATTTGGCTTGACTTTCTATGATTCATTTTTCTTGTAACAAGTGACAACATGATTTCAAGTTAAATTTGGTGTAAATAAGCACTAGAGGACTTCTAAAAAAGGGAAACTGAAGAATAATATTCAGTACTTATTGACTGAGAGGGAGAGCTGGATGGGAAAATATTTGGCTTGAGGTCATGATGCACAGACTGAGCATAGCAAGGTTGGTGCTTCATTACTGAAAGCGAAATAATTACATTTTATCTGGTTTCTCAAGTTGTAAATCATAATCAGACAAACCAAGAATCAGCATGTAAGGAAAATTATATAGTTTTCAGACAAGTTGACCATGTTCTGAAGTTTGGGGGAATGTGTATTTTCAATGGAACAAGACTTACCCAAGGCTTGGTATCCACTTGTAGAAATCTAAGTCTGTACAGGACACATTGCTTGCCTGAATCAAATGTGACTGGATACCCAATATGAGATTCACTATTGTTGGTGAAGTGCCCAAAGCCATTGGTCATTTTACATACTTTGCTCTCAAGATTGATTTTGCTGGCAGGTAAAGGGGGCCATGGGTTCATGAAGATTCAACCAGTGGAGAGATGAATTTCTTTTAACAACAGTTGTTTTCTCCAGTAAGAGACCATAAAATGCCTCCTTGAGTGATGAAGGAGTTAAAGAACCTATGGCAATATTGGTCATAGTGTTGGAGTTATGCAAGGAGAAAACTTTTGACTTGGGCCAATGAAGTCAATTTAGCTCCAGATAAAAACTAAGAACCTTTGAGAGGAAAATTGATATCAGTGATAAAAATTAGACAAATAAAACTCACTACTATAAGTTCCACTTCTTATCTCCTTAATTTTTGCTTCTTGGTTAGTTGCTTAAAGGGTACGCTTTAATCAAAGTACTCTATAAGTCCGCCGCCTCCTTTCTTTCGATCTCTTCGATACATCTTGTAGCCTGCTAGGGTAGACTGGCTGTTCGGGTAAGACTGATCTATTATTGTCCCTGCGATGAAAATTACGTTTGCCTTCATCTCATTGTTCAACAGTCTGAGCTCATCAAATTTATTTTGTACACTATTTATGTTAAGATGGACAATGAGGATCTGATTTGTATTCATTTCCTTTGTTTCAAGAAAAATATTGTACTCTTCAGAAAAGCTGCTACTTGGTACATTTGAAGTCTCCTGGGACAAGGTTGAAGGAATGAGGTGGTCATCAGCATCTAATTCTTGATGTGATTGATTTAAATTTAAATCTTTTCCTTCGAAAGCAACTGACCCCTCTTCTTCACTCAAGAAAAATGAGTTGCTCAGTGACGGCAGAAAACAGAGAGGGCACGTCCAATCGATTGTAGGTCTGTTAAGGAGATATTTAAAAGCTGAGCTTGACATACCGAGGCATTTTACATGACTCCATAATCCACACTCGGAGCATAAAATTGCATTCTGGTTGTTTCGAACACTCTTTGAACATTCTTTACAGGGAAATTTCACCAGACCAGGGTTTATATGAACATCTCCGCTGATTACCAGTCGCTGAATGTTAAACCAGCTTTTTCCTCCTGCGGAATATCGAGCTCAACATGAGAGGAACGCCTTTCCTCAACAGTGAGGTTTTTTGTTGACATTCGAGTCGAAGCGTTGAAGTTCCATTTGTTTTCAGTAATAATTCTCCTTGCCTTTCCATCGATGACTCCAAATTTCCAATGTACTCCTGGGCATGTAGCATGATAATTTAATCATGTGTATGAAACACAGAGCCAGGAAGCATCTACTAATGTGGGAGCTCTTTAAAACATGACCGACTGCCATTATCCCAAGCTTGATGGTCCATGTGCAGTTGGCTACAGATTCTTAGTAACATGTTAATATGATAGTAATATGGCCTCATTGTGAACTCAAGGAAGTGGTCCAGCTGACTGCTGTTCTATATGGATTCTGTTTGGCAGGATTTTTTCAATAGGCACTCCAGGCTCTTCACTCTTCACTCTTCACTCTTCACTCGTGCTCTTGCCTCTTATATTTGTCTTATCAGAGAGAGTTTCAAATGGCTGATTATGTGTTTAAGCTTGTTGACTGAGAATCTATTTGGATAAATGCTCAGGATTGGAGTCTTAAATGATTTAGAGGGGGTATTCTGATAGATGATAAGAATGGCTTGAAGACAAAATCAACAGCAGTTTTACACTTCTGCTCATGATCTACATTCACTTGGAGTAACATTTTACCACCTCTTGGAGCTACGAGATTGTACACCATCTGGCACACTTCTCCAGTTTTTTAAGAAATTGAAGTTTTTGAGGAAAGGAACAGTCTACTTGGGATTCATGGCCATTTATGAGGCTGTCAGCGTATGCATTGAAAACTTGCACTGGATCGTGGACATTTCCTCCAACTGATATGAAGTCCCGTATTTTTGTAATCCTGTCAAGTGCAAACATGACTGAGGGAGTCCACATTTCAAATTGATGCTATGGGATAGCCTGGAAGAACTAGGCTGGACCTCTGAGCTAAAAAGTTATGTTAATGCTGCTTCATTTAGATGGGAGATATAATTCATGATATTTACTTGATTGAATTACATGACTGAGTCACTGCTCCGGTGTGTTTTAATATGTGCTGTGATTACCAGTTATGCTAAATAAAATGGTGAAGTTTGGATCTGGAATGTTCATTCAGGTTTCAAAAACGTTTGTTTTTAACCTTTTTTTAACTTTTTAGCCTTGTATATAATTATTATAATATTTCTTATTAACCCATTAATGGCTGCAGCTTTTGTGGAAAACTGTGTTTTGAAGCTAGTCGAGCAGATTTCGGGTCACTGTTGTGGTTTTAAAAGCTCAAACTTACCAAAAACCCCTTGACAGCTTGTGCACTCGACGGCCTTTCGATCCAAATGCAAAATGGCGGCCTCAAAATCTCGGGCACGCGCAGAGAGCAAAATTTCGACATAGTTTTTGGGTTGAAAAGACATGCCCCACTTACGACTTCTACTTTTCTCTCTTTCTCCTGCCCTTTTTTTCCCCTCTCCTTGCCTGAAGTTTCTCCTCACTTGCTGGAAATTGAGTAGGCTTCATTTTGGTGTAGAGATTTTTCAGAAACTGCTCATTCTTTTCAAAGCACATGCTCGAAAAGGTAGGTGGGTAGAGAAACACGATTTTCGTGCAGATTTTCAGGTCAAAGTGACACGGTTTTTTGGCTATTTCTCCAATCTCCTTCACTCAATTGCGCTTATTCTGGTATCGTCTGTAAGATATTTTCAACCTGTTCAAGTAGGTGCTCAAATTCGTGCTCCAGGGTTAAAAGTGATGACGTCACAAGGTGCAGAAAGGGTGTGGGTCCCCATTGGCGCATACGGGCGCACTGGACGTCAATGGGTTAAGCAAACATTATGGACTTCTAATAAGTGTTTTAAAATAAATTATGACAAACCTCTGAATAAACACATATCAAAATTGAAATGCTTTTCAAAGCTCTGAAGTATCACATAATCTAAGAATATAAACAATCTTTTGGTGCATGCAGTGTGTTACAAGGGGCAAGCTTGTCGACTTTTGAAATTTTTGATGGTGCAAGAGGTCAAAAAAGGGCCTTTTGCAGCTTTAAATTTTGAGAGCTCTAAAAGTTTTCATTCAATACTACCAAACAAACTTACCTCCAGAAACCAAAATGGTTTTATTTATTTACCACCAAATGCCACAAAATGCCTTGGACTGCACTTACAGAGAACACCACTTAAATCACCTGAAATGTTCTAGGTTTTTCCAGTTATGTGCTTCATGGCTATTTCTTCCAGTTATAAATTACTAAGATTTGGCACACTTGCATGCCATTTGTTCACTTAATGTTGAGTCATTTTGTTCAGTAATCAACATGTTATTTCACTCACCAGCTTGTCATTTTAATCATTTTAGAGCTCAACATACCTTGTTTATTAAAAAAAAAAAAAAAAAAAAAAAAAACTGGATCCTTTAATTTAACTGATTTCAGGTGTGACTCATGCAGGCTGCAGTTTGAAGTTGATACTGGATTGGGCATGGGAACGTGTTGTGGACATAAAAGACCAGTTAGATCAGCTTTGTAAGAATACCCAATTTCCTTTTTATTAAGAAAAGTTGTCCAGATTTGTTGTAGTTTACCCTTCTGGAAATTTTACAAGGATTACCAAAGTCAATCAATTGCAGAATCTTTTCCATACTGTATAAAAGGGTGTAAGCAAATGGCACCCAGACTGTCAGATACTCTTAATGACTCTCAACAATTAACCAACTAAATAGTTAAAGTTACCGTAATAACTGATAGCAAAGTTACTTTGTTGAAGGTGTTCCACTGTTTGATGGTGGAGGTGGCACACCTGATGAGCAGATGCTTTTAATGTTAGACAATCAGAAGGTGCAGCTGGCCCATTTAACAACTGTATTCCAGGCTCTGATAACCAAGTCAGCTCCAACTACTTATCAGGGTAATGATTCTTGACTTCTTTAAGAACATGCTGCTGATTTAGAACATTTTGTAGGATCTCTTTATTGATGGTACAAGAATATAAAATTGTAAACTTTGGAAAGTGCATTTTCTAACTGTTATCAGTATCTTTAATCTATGATGGTATACTTAACATTATCTTGAAATTGCATTTGGAACTCCATACTTTGTTATTTAAGGTTTGAAGGACTTGGAAGCAAGATACAGTGTTGTTGGAATTCTTGCACTGGTAAGTATTTCATGCCACACGATTAGTTGCACATGTACAATGGTACATCAGGTGTAAAACAAGTGCCATGTGTGCACTTGAAGTCCAATTTTACCATCCAAAAGTTTTCATGGTACGTCCTGTAAACCATTACAAACCAGTTTTGATTTTGGAATAACAACTCTAATTGTGGTGAAAACCTGTTCCTGACTGCCTAGTGTTTGATGAAGGAGAAGCCTGAATAAACTATCACACTTAATTCAAGTGTGAATAATCTGTTTGTCTTAGAAAAAAATCTATTAGATAGGCACAACTTAGCAACAAATCAGGCTAATGTTTTAATTTTAATTGTTTACAAACACACAATGCTTGGCCACTCACTTACCATCTATCATGAAAAGAAAGCCAGTAGGTTAGCCATTCAGAGTGAAATGGTATTGATAGAACATAACTACAAATAAGGTCCAAAATGTTCTTTAACTTAAACTTATGGTTTTGCTGTTACAGTAGTAAAGTGAATTTGCAGGAGTGCTGGTGAATTTTGAAGCCTATTGAGCAAACCCATTTCAGTACCACACTATCAATATCTAATTTTTGCCAATCAGATGCAGGCTGCAAAACTGAGACAACATTGCAATGATGTATTGGTGTCTCTCTCATCATCAAAATTTCATCGGGATTTAAAAAGATAACATTATCAAGCACTTGCTCAAACCCATTGATACAGACTTTTAATATGAAAGTGATTATTGCCTTCTGAAGGAAATAGTAGGTCACCTTTAACAAGTCTGGGAAAATTACCATGTATTTCATAAGGTTTTGATACCTATGTTGGATTTATTTATAATTTTTTTTTTTTTCACTATTTATTTCAGTATCTTAAAGTTGTTCTTTGGCTTATTGGACAAGGCTTATTGCCTGAACAATCAGGTTAGAACATTTACATGTAGGTGGTGGCTGGAGAAGAGAACCGTTAGATAATTGATCATAGCACACATATTTGTTTGGTGAATGGCTGTTTCGATGAGCTTCCAATGGCTGTTTAGATATTGTCACCAGCAGGAATTTTTGATAAAATGTTTCTGCTGGAGAATAAAGTTAAAGGAATAAGGATGTGATTTGATGATTTTGATAATTACTGACCACATTATTATCACATCTTTTGACTGCTTTTTCAGGGTTAAATACCTAAAGTTTGCATTAGCTAGACTTTGTTTAACTTTCCTCCATCTCTACTTTTCTTGATTTGGTTTTTTCTCTCTTACTTTTTAGAGGGCTCAGTTACAGGACTTAAAAGGTGGAGAAATAGATGGAATGTCATTTGATTATTTGATGGTTACACACAAGGCTGTGATAATGTATCTTTGTCACAAGGTTGTGGCTTTAGCACATTTTTATAATGAGATCTCTTTCTACAAATAGCGTTACACAGTCAGCTCTCCCAAATGCGAAACATATTTTCAATTTTTTCACAGACACATGCATTCAGTTGAAAGAACCTTCCAAAGTAGAATAAAGAGAGAGCAGACATTCTTTTATGATAGATGGCCTCATGTAAATTAGGAAAGCCAATATGTAGAGTGGTAGAGTAAACTGGAAAGGTTTGGTGGCTCACACACTTGGTTTGGAGCTTACAGGAAATAAAAGATTACTATCATTTTTTTTTTTTTATTCAGAGGACACTGTTACCCTGCTGTGCCTCTTGCTGAGGCATGCGAGGGCAGACGTAAAGACTTGGAAAACCTTTGTGGCAGGTATGTACATCTTTTATTACAAGGTTGTACAGCAACTACATTTTTACGCAGTATCTTATGAGAATGGTTGACTTCTTATAATAATAATAATAATAATAATAATAATAACCACCTCCCGGTTAGCTCAATGGATAGAGCGCTGGACTGTTGTGCGGGAAGTCAAGGGTTCGAGGCCTTGCCGGACCAACATACAAGGTCTTAAAATAATTGAGAAGAATTTGCTGCCTTTCTATAACATCAAGAAATGGTTAGATATTCTAGTCTTCTCGGATAGGGACAAATAAATGGGGGTCCCGTCTCCCGCAGGGTTGGGGTAGGAGACATTAATTTGCCACACACGAGATTACTGTGTGATGGATGTCCTTCCCTGGGGTGGGATGGGTGGGTTTAGTGGGCCCGTTGTAATCGGCGTAAGCTGTCGCAGTGTCCCTGCCGGTTGGCAAAGCTAAATAAAATAAAAATAGAGTAATATTTAACATTTATACAGTGCAAATTAACATACAGGAAGATATGATCAAGTATGCTTTACATGATAAAATTGAACACGAAATTGCTATGTTACCTATTTATAATAATTTTGAATTTACAATGGAATGCAAAGATGTATAATATATGAAATACTAAAAAGAAATTATGAATTAAATGCTTCCCTAAAATAGTGAGTTTTTAGCAAGTCTTAAAGATGTTGAAATTTTGCTGTGACCTTAAAGATTACAGGAGACTATTATAAATCTTGGCGGTTGAATTGGAAAAGGCTGGATCCCCAAGCATTTTTTTCGATCATCATGAATGGTCCTCAAATTGCCACCACTTCTAATAAAGTCAATGGTCAACTAGATCTCTGTAACACAAAGTGTTCTTCTCGTTTGCTAAATTAAATTACATCATTCTGTAACTTTGGAGCATTTGCTTTTAAAAATGCTTGTTTGGAAAAAGCATATAACAATAGGAACACACACACACCTATTCTCATCCTGAGTTCTATCCTGTTATCATAACTCTGTTTTTTTTAGTCACTTTATTTATGCATGGCAAAGTTTGAAAAATAATTACACAGCACAAAAATCAATTTCAGACGGAGTGGTTTTGTAAGTTAGCCTTATACCTACACTGTACAAGTTTAGCTAATTTTCAAACTCAGTGGCTGATTTTCTTTTTTTATGAAGAAAAGGTGGGGCTTGTTTTCAAAAGTTTTTTGAATAGTTTTTCCCTCAAAGTAGTCATTAGGGAATTGAAAATCATCACAGACATTTTACTCAGCTTTCAGCTAAGTCATTTAACACCACAAGAGCAAGTTGTTACCAAACTCTTTTACTATTGGGTTCTTCTGACTTGTCTTTGAAATCTTCAAAATAAAAGAACAACACACTGGTGTAATATATTTATAAATAACTTTGCTTTTTAATGATAAAAAATTGCGATAAAACATTTCATAAAAGCATAATTATTAATAATTTGTTGATTATGTTTTGACGATTGGCTAACATTGTCAAGTCAAAGAGTGAAAGATAACAAATGTGTAAATACTGAAAAGACTTTGATGTTCTTTTAAGAAGATGTTCTTTTAAATGAAGAGTTTTGCACGAATGGAATCAGTCTGCATTTTGAGACTAGGATTGCACTGCTTGATGAAGAGCATCTCATAGACAAGACAGTCAAATTTTCCTTGGCACTTTTTTTAGAATGCAGAATTGGCTTTCTTTGAGAAGGCTTGTATCCTCAGTAGCTCTCATTGTTGTTATTCTATCTGAATGATTTTTGTTATTATGTGACAGTGATCCAGACTCAGTTGGCTTGATGGTAGACAAAGTCATTAATCATCTTGGCCATCAGGGAGTGAGCCAGTGGATAACTAAGGGAGGAAGCCAGCACTACCCACCCAACAGTTTACATGTATGTTCTTATCATAAATAGCATTTATGTCCTTGTTAACATTTGGGGCAAAATTACTGTAAGCTGCTTGGCTTTGCCAGAAGGTACAAATATTACTTTCTCTATCATGGGGGTGCTTTGGCAATCAATAGAGCATAATTGGTTATTAAAGGAGAAGTATGCTCCAGAAACCATATTGTTTCTATCTCTGCCACTCTAAATTATATGCAGTAATTATAAGTGTATGATGTTGAAGCCATTTTGGGAAGATGCACATACCTGTAACTTTAAATGCTCACCTTTCTATGGTTAAAACAAAAAAGACAGAAAATCGTTTCTGAGCTTGATCTCAAAAATCTCCCCATTAGTCAAGATTTTATGATATGTTGGCTGATGTCAGTTTGTATTAGTTTGTAAGAACAATGGCCTTTAAACTTTAAGCACACTTCTGCTATGAACCCCCATCATGGTGTTAAGCAACAAAATCTGTTGTGGACATGTTCATTTTGGAAAACTACTGGGTACACGTAGCACATACACCTGTAGACTGTTACTGTATTATGAAGGAGTGGCAAAAAGTCTCCAAATGAGAGCTACATATATCGAAAGCATACTTTTTCTTTTAAGTGGTTCTTTTTACTGTTGTTTACTTTTACCTACAGTTGCAGTTTTATTTTTGGATCTATTTTCCTACCTGCAGTTATGTTATAGTTTTAAATATTTTTCTTTTCAGAGTCTGTGCAGTCTTTACCTACTTGAAAAGGTTCATCCTAAGTGGAAACATGCTATTGTATCCTTCATGTATAACTTGCATTGACTAAAATCACTGCTGGCCTTGGAAGATCAATTCATCACTTGTGAATTTGATTCAGCTTAATTTTTTCCATCTTTGCAGCAGCACCTTGGTTTTATTAAGCAATTTCTCATTCGTCCTAAGACTTTAAACACTCTTGATGTGACAAATCTTGCTTTATATAATAGTGATATGATTAAAGCATGAATATATTAGTTAACAAGCAATTAATTTGGTTGCACTTTACATGTGTTACTACTGTCATTTTGTACTTGAATGTATGTAATTCTTTAACTGCCTTTAGGTATTCTATCTGTTGCTTGACTTATGTTTTCTGGATTCTGAACTTCAAAGAAATGAGGTAAAATGTTTGTTTTTTCTATTGCATTTTAAGATTTCCTTTGCCATAGAATCATATGTGCACTGTATGCCCTTTGTTTGCAAATGCTTGGATAGACCTGTATCTTTCATAATTATTTGCAATGCCAAATTTTTTAATGTTTATCTCCATTAATCTTCTGGTACATGTCAATTATATTTGAGTATACTTTGAGTAGGAAGGAATATTATTAGTAATATTAGTATAATAATATTAGTATAGTATAGTATAGTATTAGTATAATAATATTATTATTATTATTATTATTATTATTCGCGATTTTTATATGTAGGTCGTTTTTGTTATCAAAGTTAGTTTGGGTCTGATACGAGTCTGATCCTAGAGAACCGAATTTAACAGATGTGTTCTGCGTGAATTAATTTGGAAATGTACGAGAAGAAAACCATTACCCACGCGAAGTTATTGTAATGTTGTAAGCTTTGAAATAAAGTTTTTACTCTAAAGTTATTATTATTATTATTATTATTATTATTTTTCCGATTTTAAGTAAACAGATGCGTTAGAAAGTGGTGGTATCCCTACACTAGTGGTAATTGTGCTACCAAGTGTGGTTAGTACAGCAAGGGTCTTCAAGCAATGATGATAGTGATCTTATCATCAATAAAATAAATGTGGTTTTCTTTGTATGGGGATAAGGTGGCCGCTAAATTCGCCAAAGCTTTCAGCATGTCAGAGGATTTAATCACACTCATTCACGGATTTTGGCTTCTTGATCACCAAGACTTTGAGGTAAAGATTTATTTTGTTCTGTTTCTTGTCAGTTGATACATGAGCATTGATTTTTAACAACAACAACAACAACAACAACTTTATTTGTACCCAACATAAAAAATACTGATACAAATAATGATAAATTGACAAGAATATAAAGGAGTACTAGCTACCCCAAATAACCATAGGGGCTAGAAAAAAAAGGGCAGCTATACTTACATGATTTATGTAATGTAATTATTTGGGTCAGATATAACACACACAACACACACACACACACACACACACGCACGCGTTTGACTGACACGTTTAAGTTTGACTATTTAGCTTACTGAGATTTTATAAGCAATATTAGTATTGGAAATTTTGGGCAGAGAAAAAAGTTTATATGGTACTGAAAACCAAATTAATTATTATTAGGGATCATATCCTAGATCTTATAGCCTTCAACTGAAGCGCCTCCCGGTTAGCTCAATGGATAGAGCGCTGGACTGTAGTGCGGGAGGTCGAGGGTTCGAGCCCCGGCCGGACCAACACTCATGGTCTTAAAATAAATGAGAAGAATATGCTACCTTTCTATAACATCAAGAAATGGTTAGATATTCTAGTCTTCTCGGATAGGGACGAATAAATGGAGGTCCGGTCTCCTGCAGGGTTGGGGCAGGAGACGTTAATTTCCCACACACGAGATTACTGTGTGATGGATGTCCTCCCCTGGGGTGGGATGGGTGGGTTAGGACAGCAGGTCCACATCAGCTATTACAGCTGCCAATTAATCAACCTGCTTAAACAAATAAATGAACTTCAAACTTCAACTTCAAGCAACAACTTACAATTCTTAACAAATGGTAAACATAACATTGATACATTGTAGCAAAAGAGTTTTCTTTTATTTATCAAATTTTACATGACCAGAAAAAACAAGTGTGCGCAGAAAACTAGTCTTTGCAATTGCTCATGTTAGCAGCGTACACCCATGGGCAAATGGTGGACGCTGAATTGACCAATCAGAGCACGCGCTTTACTTTGCTTATGTTATAATTTTAATTGTAGGCTGCAGTATCAACCTTACTTGATCCAGTGATAATAACTGAACTTGGCCCATGGCAGAGACGTTTCATTATCAAGACTCTACTTGCCCAAGGTAAAAAAATGCAACCAGAATAATACTTGTCTAAGGTTCTAAACTTAGAAATGAAGGAGAGAATATGAAAGAGAGATAACAAATAAACACAGAGTGCTTGAAAATCAAAACTGGCAGGAGGCAGACCAGCTGGCTATTTACAAAATGCAGCAAAGGATTTGAACTCTGGGAGACTGAGAACAAATACAGTGAGTAGCAAGATGGAGGACTTTAACCCAGGACCGCCAGATGACAAGTCCAGCACCCTAACCACTTGGCTACAATGCCACCCCTTTAGACAAGCTCATACTTTAATTTTAAAGTGTTTGTGACTTTCTGTTCAGGGGAGCCTCAGAAAGCACTGCATTACATGAAGGTCACATTTCCCACTGTTCAGGAGCTCAGTGATGTCAAGTTATTTATCACTGTATTATTGACCAACGGGTAAGATTTCCAATGATAATTTATACATTAATCTTCATGTAGAGTGAGATAGGGTCTGAGTGGGAGAAAGAATTCTGGGAAGTGTTGGAGAGAAAAGCCAGTCAAAGAAAAATAATTTGTAACATTTTTTTGATATATAATGATATCTCTCAGATAGTATGTGTGCTACGTTTGTCAATCTAGCGGGCGGTATTTCATCGTGCAACCCACTTAATTCGCTATGATTTGAACCCAGAAATGAAGTATCTTAGTTACCTCATTTTCTTGGTCCGTAATGTAAGTTACGGAACTATGGGGCCATAAATACAAGTGGAAAAACCTCCCAAGAAGTTTCACTGCAGAAAGTAGGTGCATGAGCTCCTTAACTTCAACTCAAACACGGGTCAATTGATTCTCGACCCCCCTCCCCTGCCCCCCAAAAAGAAAAAGAACTGCGGTAGTGAGATGCACTTTAAATTTACTGTAGTTTGGACAAAGGAAACTTTATCTGAACCAACATGAAGCTAATAAACCTTGTACACAATGCACGTTGGAATGAATCAGACATCTATTATCTTTTTTAGAAAAGTAATAGAGGCATATCACTTTCAGGTAAGACTACATGTAACACTCATTATGTTCCTTGTATTTGTTTTCTTTCGAATTTCCACAACGTGTCTGTAAACATCTGTTTTGTTGATTTTCAGAAATGTCACCAAAACCTGAGAAGAGGCAAAGAGTTGCTATATCATTTCTTCAATAGCTGTCAACAGAGTGAGTACACTGATCATTTTCTTCTTGCCTCTGACATAAAAGTGAATATTGTAATTATTAAGAGCTGATATGCGTTTTGTTTGTGCATTTTTTAAGAAAGTGAAGAAAAATGAAATTTCCCAGCCAATTCTATTAGAATGAATTTTTTTTTTAACAAACTGTTGCATTAGGGCCATTTTTAACGCTGATTACTCTCACTTGCACCACCGAACCTATTGGCTGAACAGTTTTTGAACTGAATAAAAAACTGTGATGTTTAAAAATAGGGTTCATTGTACATTTTTGTTAGCTATTTCAATTTAATTTTTGTAAATTTGTGATCACGCCTTGTTTTAGCTTTCCTAAAACCTCCTCTGTTTGTAAGATATTCGAGCGGACTTATTGACCACTACGCTTAATTTTTCGGTTTGTACGGAAGGCATCGTGATTGAACTAGTTTGACTCGTGAAATAAAGGGGAAAAGGCCTTTCACCGGCACATCAATTGCTACAAATGTGGGAAATGTTGGTTTGTTGTGTGATCGTTGTGGGAGCTGAGGTTTTTCACCCATGCACGAGCTCGCGTAACCATGGTGTGATGTACTCCCTGTGCGTGCAGTGACTTGAAATGGCAGAATTTTTTAGTCATTTAAGGAAAAAAATGTTCCCATCGGTAAAATTGTTGTCCTTTTACTAAGATGAAATTGGCGTAGATGCTAATAATGGAACTGTAAAGATTCATTTATTTAAACGCCCCTTGAATGCTGTATTGGTCGTGAAAAAAAGGTCAGTATTTTAATTGGTTCCTGTAATCCTTATCTATCAACCCTAGATAGTGAGGAAATTTTTCTTTTTGTTTGTACTTTTTATATCCGTCATCACAAACTCTAAAAAAGAGTTTTACCAGATTTCCTTTTTTTTAAATAGTCGACTGTTAACAAGACATCATTCCTGACAATTAGATTCATACCACTGAAGGATTGTTATCTGCTCTTTTTTTTTCTCTAAACAGCTCAAAATATGACCAGACTCTTCCAACTCCCTCTAGAGTTTGCCGAGGAGGTTTGTTTATGGCTTATACAGTACTACACTGCTTAAACAATGCAAGTTTACTGATGTAGGGGTGGAAAATTCCAAGGGATTTGCAAGGAGATTAAATGTAATCTGGAGATGACAAATTTAACAACCTTTATTGTCATAAATAATTAGTTACAGCTATGTAGAGGTCTCCCTCAGACTCAACGAATTAAGAGAACATTTACCTAACGTTATTCGCGCTGATGTCTCAATTGAGCACTACTCGTACTTTGATATAGAAGGACTAAAAATTGGTATTTTTTGTTTGTTTGTCTTTTGGATTTGTTTCGTTTTGGTTTGCAATTTGTTCTCAACAATACTGAAGTTATTATCTTTTCCTACACCTTTTTTGATCGTTTTGAAAAAAATGCAATTTCGACTTAGTTTGTGAGGCAACACTCCAGCCTGGTTGAGGCAGAGAAGAACTTCTATCATTCGCGCCTGTGTGAAATCATGGGAAGCTACCTTGAATTGAGTGGAGAACGTTTATTTTTGACTTTGAGTTGAATTGGAGGAGGCAACGCATTTTTCTTTTCTATGCTTAGTATAGAATTTCTTACACCTTAAAACATTTTGGATTCCAGGTTTGAAGGTGTTTGCTTTATAACTTATATAAGTACAAATGTCATCAATTTATTCTGGGTCCTACGCATGTACTACTGATGGTAATAATTTGGTCTTGGTCTTTAAGGACTTTCTGGTAAATTTTCTTCAAGAAGAAACATTTCCACATTCCAAGGAACTGCTCGTGATGTACTACTTTCAAAAAGGACGTTATGTGGAAGGAATCAGGCTTAATGAACTCCTCAAAAAGGATAAATGGGTTTGTTTTAGTAGAAGCTTTTTGTGTTTTGTTCATGCATTTGATAGGGGTATTTCCATATCTTTATTAAATTGAATTATTTTTATAGGGTTTTGGTTAGTTATCGTGTAATAACGGTAAATGGTTTATTGTTTGTCTTACAATATAGTCAGTTCTAGTGTGAATTGTGACATCAACACAACCTTGTCTAAAAATGTGTCCGCAAAAATTTGCATCTTATCTGCTGTTTTCAACATGAAGGCTCGCAACTTGAAAGATTGCATTCGGGGTTCCTTGCCAATGCGGCAAAGTTTACGTCAGTGAGAGAGGAAGATTCATGAAGGAAAGAATCAAGGAGTAAAACACAGAATTCACTTGCATACACACCTTGGGAAAAGGTTATTGATCATGATCCTCCCCTGTATACACCAAGCATAAAACAGACCATTCACCCAAGACATCATACAAGCAGCACCAAAGAAGCGAAGGAATATCATCAACATCATTTTTAAATTGTTTTTTAACAATCCAAAAAAAAAAAAAATGTTCACAGCATTATAATTCCTAGAAGGGGAGGAGACCCAGGAAGCCAGCGGGTTTATAGGAGAGGCAACCTCAGTTACAGCAATATATTTAAAAAAGAATAAGTGTCGTGAACATGCAGCCTGGCCAATTCAGTGGTTATTTAAATAAGAACTTTTGTATTTTTGTCTTAAGGCTAAGAAGATTTGAGGAACGAGTGACTGAAACAGGAAGAGAGTTCCAAATTTAGGACCTTGGTAGAGAATTGTAAATTGCTTTAGATTTGTACAACACAAATGCGTTTGATAATTACTGACTGTTCTGGTAACATAGCAATGAATTTGGCTTTTTGTTACAATAAAATTGAGAAGCCACGGAGGCAATAGGTTATTTTATAGTAAAACATTATTGACTAGGATAATAACTGAAATTCCAAGTTTGGATTAAGGAGGGGAATGGGCTCTATAGTCTAAGTTGGTGATAGCCCGCACAGCTTGTTTTTGGAAATCTATTAACTAAAGTTAGATACGTATGTGGACAGCCAGGTGGAGTTACAATAGACGATATAAGGATAAATTAAAGTGTAGTACAAAGTGAGTTTGGTTATAGAAGATAGGAAAAAGCAAGACCTACATAGAGTACTTAAAGATTTAGCGATTTGTTTTCATATTGTAATGTTTCAAGGTGAGATGATTGTCAATATCGAGCGTCAGCCCTTCGTCCGCTAACGCTCGAAACGTCAACTTTTTAACTCTTTATGGTGGCCAATTTACAGTTTCAAGTTAGTTGATAAAACCAAGTTACCTTAAAAAACACATAGTTTGTTTTCTTCCTTTTAACCAAAAGCTTATTACATTTTAGCCAAACATCGATATTTTGAAGTTCATCATTAAGTACGGATTGTAAGCAATTTGGGTTTTAGGGTGAATAAAAGATACTAGTGTCTTCAGCGATAAGCAGAGGGTTTACTAATTCAGAGGCATTAGGGCGGTCATGTGTCTATAGAATAAACAATAAAGGGCCTAAAATGGCACCTTGAGGGACAGCACACTTGATGGCTTGCATTGGAGAACAAGCTTGATTGAATTAGACAAATTGCTGGCGGCAACAAAAGTATCTCTTAAACCACTGCATAGCCACATCACAGATATCGTAGTGCTCCAATTTAACAAGCAAGGTTTAATAATCAACAGTGTCAGATGCTGTGGAACGATCCGTTGTTTCGTGTTGGTCCACTGCAGAAGAAACGATCTTTCCGAAATCTCAACTGACAGCGGTTCAGTATATCGCATTTTTGGCAAACTCTACTAAGCTATTGTATATGACTTCAAAATATTGGGAAACGTTGGGCAACAATGTTTCCCAATCGTGCATCATACGTAAAGAAATAAGTCTTTTTCAAAAAGGGAAGGATTGTGTACTATGTAGATGGGGAGAGTTCTAGTGGTTTAAAAAATAAATTCCAGAACTATGTATGCTAAGGATGTAGAAACGCAACAACAGAAGAGCAGTGTGGTGGCCAAAGGCTAAGGGAAGTGATCTTTGAAATCTGCTGTTCACAGCTGCTGAAAATTAGTCAATCACAGCAGAGCTGTGACAGTCGCAGCAGAGCTTTACTTGTCAGCAGAGCTGTGATTGACTACTTCATCACTTGAGGGAAACCATGCGGTCGAAACGTTGTGATAATTATTTAACATGACTATGTTGCGAGACAAACTATAAATACCTTGTTATTATTATTTCATTGCTTACTAAAATAGACAAGAAAAAGGTGTGCTGTAGTACAATCAAATTTTCCATCTTTTTTCTCTGTTTTGCTAAATCTACAGCTTTGCTACTTAACTCTTGAATCTAATGTGACTTTTATTAATGCTACATTTAATACTGATTTACCTCTACTGATCTACTGATTTTTAGGCTGAACAAGACGAGAGAGCTAAAGTGAGAAATGCCTTGGCTGATGCTTATATGAGATGTTTACCAAGAGTAGAACGCAAACTTGTCTTTGGACCTGGGAAGGCTATGTCTCAACAACGTGTAACCTTGACCGAAAGTATGCGCAGTAAGCATTTTGTCAAACGTTATGAAAAATCTCATTTTATTCCTCCTTATGAGTTGCATCACAAATGCATTGAATTGATAAGCAAGATCGCTGTAGATTTCCACATTTAGACAGCATACTGCCAGTTTTAATTTGGAAATGAGGTCTCCTTGGTCACCCATAGTCGGTAAATGCTTGATTTTTTAGGTAACAAGGTTAGTTATTAACAAATGGTAAACACCACAGCTACACTATTGAGCTATGGATGCACGCGGGAGGTTGCTAAGCACGAAAGAAGCGTAAGAGTCGCGCGAGGCGATAGCCGAGAGCGACTCTAGCTTCTTGAGTGCTTAGCAAACCTCCCAAGTGCATCCATAACTCAATAGTGTACGCTGTGGTGTTTACCATTTGTTTTATAACATAACATTGATACATCGTAGCTAGAGAGTTCCCTTTTATTTAACAAATCTTACGTGACCAGAAAATACAAGCGCGCGCGGAAAAATTGTCTTTGCATTTGCTCACGTCAGCAGGGTACACCCATGGGCAAATGGGGGACGCTGAATTGACCAATCAGAGCGCGCGCTTTAGTTTGGTTATGTTATAATTTTTCTTGTCAGTTATCTCTGTTTCGGCGAGTGGTTTCCCCGGCCATCCTACAGCTTTTTGTTACTGTATATAGTGATTGTGAAATTTATATTCAGGAATTCTATCATCAAGTTGATATTGTCATTTGAGTCGCATCTGTGACCGTGCATGTTCAACAATAAATTACGGAGGGGCTGGTCGTGTGTAGTCGAAACGTTGCGAATGACACCACATCACCAGACAAATTATTATACTTTATCAGAATTGTACTTCACTGCAATGACAAATTGCAATCTCTCTTTAGGATTTAAAATTGATTAGGGCGACTCTTGTCAAAGGTTCAGGAATTAACCTAGATATTAGCGTGTAACAGTTTATGGATCGACATAGGCAGTCCGTGTTGTATCCGTGTGTATATTACTGCAAATTAATGATACCTGTAGTATCAAGTCTCATAAGATCATTTTGTTCGTGGCTAGGCCTTATCGCTACCCTTCCTTGAGATGGACGCATCCGTGATGTATGGGCCCATGAGAAGGGTTTACAATATGGCTACAAAGTTATCTAATCAAAATTAGGCCAAAAAATTTTACAAAGAAGTCACGTGTCTACCCTTTAAGGTGCAGTCACGTGCAGGTTTGCTATCAGGCTATAGAAGCTCGAGTGCTCATTCCACTGTATTTGATTGGTCATTTGCAGTTCCACGACCCAAACCCCTGTCAACTGTTGTACACAAAGTAGACAAGGGCAATCCAGTCTCTCGTGCTGTGATTTTGAGCTCAGCTATGAATAAACTGCAGGAATTACGGTAACTCAAATATTTATCATGTATATTTTTTAGCCAATCTCTTTTTTTTTCTTAATTTTTTTTTTTTTACTTTATTTTAATCTATTTTACACGTGAAAGACAGCATTAGAAAGGGTTTTTAATAGCCCTACAATTGCACTGGAAAAATTCAATTTGTTGTGATTTGTGACACGATTATGACCTAAAGCAAGTGACATCTGCCACTTTGCTGCGTCATAACAATGTTTACTCTGATTCTCTTTAAAGATCAGCAGAACAGTTTACATTCCAGAAAGAAGCAGAACCTTTCATCTGTACTCCAGTGACTCCAAGAACAAAAAGTAGTTTAAGGTAAAACCCAGATCTTGCTATATTAGACAATTTCCTATTAGCTGTTTAGAAAATTATGGTATGGAAAACTTCTTAATAATAATTGAATCACTTCATGGTCTTACAAAACTAAGCGTACGTATTTTTTCTTTGGCTAAAAAGTATGTAGGTATACAGGTTTATGTAAACATTTCCATCTTAATGATATTTTACTTTGTTGTTCTGGTATCTCAAATGCTGATTTGCTTGATATTATAACGTCCAAATCGAAGTCTGTTGCTCACACGCGTAAAACTAAAAAACTAGCAGTTTATAGCATTGCAATGCTTCTAGTAGTGTTGATGTAACACGAGGGAGAACTTCCTAGGACTTCTCAGTAGTTATACATACATGTAACTGAATTTCACTGTTCCTTTGTAAAAAGTTGTTAAGAATGAGCTTGTCTTTTTCAAGTGATTCAAATAAGGTGGGAGTTCTTTACGCATCAGAAAGTAAACAACCTATACAGGATACATTGGAAAGTAAAAAGGTAATTACCGAACTTAAAATGTAGGGGCAAACTAACTGTACATATGCATGTTTTGAAGGATGTTTTGAAGGAATAAATGCACTCCTACATTCAAATTCATCAGGGTGGTGTCTAACAGACCTGTAGGGAATACAATATTTTGCGTGTCTTATTCAAAATAATCGATCATGTGATATAATACAAAGGAACGGTTCTTTGAGTTCATAGTGGCTCGAATAAAAATTTGTTCAAGGTTTGAAAAAAATTGAGCCCCTTGTAAAACCTGAGGTATAGGGAGTTCCAGGAAAATGTTTTCAGTCATCAAAACAGATCTCCTTGACGAACTCTCGACTTTTCTGGGATTGCATCAGAAGCATGAATTCATTCGTCAGGGTTCAAATGACTTCACAATTTCAAGGTGCACTGTACTTACGACGTTAGATAGATACTTTCCTCAATCACTCAAATTCTTCATATTCGCTAAGAGAGGGGAAGGGGGATTCTGAGGGCTCACATTTAGCAACTTGCTTATTTGTTAATTATTAACGCTGTTCATGTCTTGCAAAGAATGGATTTTCCTCATAATGATTGATTTGACTTGGCTATCTGAAAAGTTTAAGATTGGCAGCGCCTCTTAGCTCATTGACTTTGTGTATTGACTTTGTATATGCTGTGATGCCTTTGCAGCACTCTAAGTTGCGACCTTTTCCGTCGCCGTGGCGATATTTCTGGACAGTTCCTCCTAAATAGCCATTACCATAACTTTTAATCATTATTAGTTCCTTCAATAAATTGCACCATGTACATTTCCATCGTTCTGTGACTAAGATTTACTTATGAAAGGTAATGATTATCACTTGTATTACGGTACCAGTCTAGCGATTTCAAAGTTTTGTCTTCCACTTGTTCATTTACTTTCGGAGAATTTTCTAGTAACACTGTTAGTAACACTGTAACATAGCTTAGTGACACTGTTAGGCTATCCAATTAGTTATTTGTCCATTTTTCCAGAATTAGGCCCTCTGACCATAAGTTAATGAAGCCGAATTTTCTTAGGTTTAGTAGACGCAAAAAAGGAAAGAATAAGCTACCAGAGAAGTATCTAATTGCAAGGGTTCGATACCTGTATAGGTCTTTTATTTGATCAACAGTTAACTGAGTGTAATCTATTTACTTTTTTCTTAGTCTGAGAATGGAAACTATGTGAAAAAAGTGTCCTCACCAACATTTCTGGATAAAAGAAGGTGCAGTATTTGCCCTATAACGAAAGAGTTAAGGATTTCTGTTAGTTTGGTTGTTTAATATGTTTTCGTGTTTGTTTTTGAAGTAAGAAATAAGAAATCAACTCAGAGCTAGTCGAAAACAATTTGGTGCATAAGTGTCCAGCTTTAGTCTTAGTACCTTCCATCTGATTGGTTTCTTGTTTGTTTTTGATTTTGTTTGTTTTGTTTGCTTCCCTGTTTTGTCCTGTTTCTAAAGGCTGATTGAAAATCAATCGGTTGCAACTGGTTTGGGAGTACAATGACAATTCCTTCCATAAACTTGTTAAGATACTTAGTCGTCTTTCTTCTTGAATTATATGATCTCATTTATCAGGATCTTTCCCAAGATTCAGAAATGAGAACAAAACCCTCCCAAACACAGGAAATATTCTGTGAAAGGACATGAAAACGACAGGTGTAGGTGCGAACTTCTTTTGGCTTTGATGGGAAAGCACATCAACGTCATCAACATAAGCACACCAAGATTAAAATTTATTGGCCTGTCAACAGAGAGGCTGAAGGAGTTCTTTTTTGGTTTCTTTTGTAGCCGGCGGCACTTTTTCTCTGGTGCGGAAGCTCTTTCATTGCTAGCAACTCCTCCTGTCGTGAAATTAAACCCGGTGAGGTGTATTCCTTTTTTTTTTTTTTTTTTTTTTTTTTTTTCCATGTTTACTCAATGTATTTCTGGTTGGAAGTATTAAACGTGGTGTCCCACTCTAAGTAATTTTGTGAAGTAAGCTAATTAATGAGTAAGCTCTCGTCTCACCTTTGGCAGACCTCTGCGAGATCATCTGTGGGAAAACCGGAAGGAGTTAGTATTGCTACACCACAGTCAATTTTAAAGGTAATAAATGCGGATAGAGAATTTCAGTTAAGTAACAGACACCTGTTGTTTTGCCAAGTGGAATGGCTGGCACTCTTTTATCTCGATACTTGTAAGTTTTTATAGTAACTTTCTTCTGGAAACAAACTTTTTGTTGTTCATGTAGGTAACAAGAGTATTGCGTCGCCCCTCGCCTCAACCCTCACCCACATCGTCTCCTCCAACGACTAGGCGTGGCTCCTCTGATCCACTGTTGTCAAAGTCTGTCGAAACTCAAGGTTGGTCCCATTTTGTGCGGTTTACTGGTCTGTTTATTTCCATTTCGCAGGGATCTGCATATCTATTTATCCTTGGCTAGTCACTTTGTTGATATATCCAAATTATTTCGTTACTCCCACCGACGCAGCCCCAAACAGTTTCTTTCGAAACTATCAGCCTTTATTCACTTGTTAAATCAGTTGTTGATTTTTAAGCTAGCAAACTTGACCTGTCATATCTAAAATTATTAACTTGCTGTAGCTATTCCAGATGTCGACTTTGTTCATGTATCAAATCAACTTTAGTTTGTCCTTTTTTATCGATACGGTAATTTAGTTTTATCAACCGTGCTGATAATGTAAATTGGCTACTGTCAAGAGTTACAAAGCTAACGTTTCGAGCGTTAGCCTTTTGTCAGAGTGAAATGGCTAGACTCTGTCCTGAATACGTGGATTGCATGTTGCCATTAGTTGTATACATCTCTTCACAGAGGATTCCATTCAAAGTTAATAAACCAGTTTTCCAAAGTCAGTAATTTAAACAAGTTCCAGCTTAAGGTTAAACATTGAGCCGATTCCCAAGTAAATCGATAGAGGTGGTTCGTTAGTCCGTTGAAGTTCACTATTTTCTGCCCATTGTTTGATAAATGCATGACACAATCCACATTAGCTCAAATTATCTAAGGGATCCCAGGTGTAATGGTGTACAAGGTATACTGCACCGCTTTTCTTTACTCTGGTCCAATATTTATTGTGATCTTTCCTCAGTACAAGCTGTATGTCGCCAGAAAAATGAATAAAAGAAAAAGGGTAAAGAGGTTGAAATGGGATGAAAATAACGACGTAATTCTTTATTCTAGCAACTGACAGTGTAATTCAGGATGATGATTTAACAACTCCAAACAGGCGTATAAGGTTGGTAAAATACTGATTCAATGATTCTTTATGGCATGCTCAGCCTCTGGTACAATGTTTGTCCATACTCTCCCCCTGGTATGAACATTGCGAATAACATTTAGTTGATGTTGTTGTCTCTTACCCCTAAACAGAGGGTTGTAGGTGTACCAAGAGTGGAAATGTGTCATTTGCACGTTCTTTCGCAGTAGTATATGAATGAATGAATTCCTTATTTATATTGCGCCCTTTCTATACAATATTCAAAGGCGCAGTACCCCCCATCAATTTGATAGACACTACACAAAGATAGATCACAACACCTGGCACTACGTGCCCTACTCTTTTCGAACAGTTTGTGGGTTCTTTTACGTCCCACAAATTTTTATCACATACAAGGGCTTGTGAGACGGGACCTCCATTTATCGTCCCTATCCGAGAAGACTAGAAAGTCTAACCATTGCAGATATTATTACAAAGGCAGCACTTTCTTCTCAGTTATTTAAAGAGCCTGAGTGTTGGTCCGGCCAGATTTGAACTCACGACCTCCCGCACAACAGTCCGGCGCTCTACCATTTGAGCCAACTGGGAGGCATTGTTCTGTTGTTTGTGTAGATGGTTTTACCCAGAGATTGTCAAGATTAAATATATCATCAAACCCTCTGCCTCTTATGTTTTCTTTAGTCATTAGCTTTGGCCACTTTTCGATTGAGAAACATGTGTACCTGGAAACCGTGCAAGATCAAGGTCGAGTGGTACACTTCACCAATGTCTTTGATTTCCTCTAGTCACTGGGCTACATAAGTAAGAGAAGTTTGCTATGAGCTAATAATCTTTGCCATTTTCTTTAGATTTGCCAGTGAAACTGCTTCATCTCCTTCTACAAGGTACAAACACACACATAATTGAGTGTATTTGCCCGGTGTCATGTTTTTTAAAGGTTGTAGTGACAACAGATATTTATCAAACAAACTATAGTCGCAGAACTTATCTAAAAATATATTGACAGGCACATGCTATATATCACAGAAGTGTTATCGTCAACAACCATTTTAAAGGTGTTAAAAGAGAATGGAATTATACTTCACCAGATTTTGTCAGACTCCTCATATTCTTATCAGCTACAAAATCTTAAGATATGGGGAACATGCGCATTACGCATTTCTGCTTGACTGCTTTCATTGAGAATGTCGACAACGGAGCGGAATAACATTTGATAGGTAACAAAGCTACCAATCCGGACCAACCCCATGTTAGTGATGTTGTCCATATGGGAGGTGGGGGTTAAGCCAGAAGATAGTTAGTTTAGGTTCCTTAACTTTTTACCTCAGGTCCAATTATTTTTTCTTACCTGGGTTACCTATCGTTTTTAGCGAATAAACGCATTCTTATGCAAGCATCATTTGAAGTCAAGTGCCACTTTAAGATAATGTTGATAAATCTCCTTCTTTTGATCTTTCAGTCCTGTAAAGCATCTGGAAGTTTCAACTTCTTTTCCTTCTAACAAAGAAACCATAGGCTCATCTCAAAGTGACGTCGTTAGCATGACACATGATGAGGATATTGCTACTGATGATTTGTCACAGAAATCTGCGCCACTTCAGCCACCTGACCCACAGTCACAATCAGAAGGTATCACAAACGGGAAGGTCAACTTGTTCTCATATTGCCATACTGTCAAATACTGAGTCGCAGAAAGCGAGGGCAGTGCTTGCCTTAGAGCCTCTTTTAACTTCCAAATTCGTCGAAGTACGTCGTACATCATACGCTGCTTTTCACATGCTAGCACTTGAAAATGAGTTTCGTGTGATGTATTTTTCCTCAGCTTGACTCTCTAGCCCTCATATGGGTTAGTGTCAAGAAATGAAACGGAAAAGACACAAATGTGTTATAGTCTATAAATGCTCAAAGAATGTAGTACCTCAGTGTTTATGTAACTATTTTATTAGAAACTACAATGTACATAATTCTGACACTCGCGGAAGAACCGATTTGCCCCTGCTCAAACCGAAGTTAAACCTTGGGAAACGAACTTTTAACTATTCTGGCTCAGCCCTTTTTAATTTGTTGCCTTGTTACATTCACAACGCGGAGTCACTTTCTTCATTTAAATTTTTGATGATTACGCACGATTTTGAACATTTTGTATTTCATAAATTGTTACATCCAGTATATTTGAATTACTGTTTATTATATTTTTGAACTATTGTACTCGTTAGTCCAGGGCCACTCTGGATACCAGCTTATTGCTGATTGGGCTACCCTGGTAAAATGAAGTTTACCTTACCTTACTGGGCGTTAAAGACATGACTGAGTTCATTACCGGCTGTTTAACTAACGGCAGTATCTCTCAATTAAACTCATAGATGAGGTAGAAATAGAAATGGAAGAAGATGAAGCGCAAGGGGAAGCTGAGCTCCAGATAACTGCTGCTGTAATGGAATTCACTGGAGACAGTGACACCGAGGAAACAGAAACGCATGATGAGGACTATAGTAGTTATGAGCTGGATGACAGTGATGCAGTACTTGGTAAACAAACTTTGTTGTCAAGTTGAAAAGCGAGGATTACAGCTCTTTCTCTTTCTAGATGATAGCCAACACTACTTTCCACACAGTTAACGTTAATTATATTTCACCATCCTTGGTAGTTTAGTGTCGCAGGCTCCATGAATTTTAAACTGGGTTGTTTTTGCTTGTTGGCCTTTTTCTTTTTTACCTTCTTTCATCTTTATTTAATCATCCAGCAAAGAGTAGCGTAAGTTTTATTTCATTATAGCAAATTTTCCACATGAAGCACTAACTAAATCAAATATTCAAACAGAGAGGCTACTTTGAAAGGTCTTAGGGAAGATTGACCTCTGAAAAATTAAACGATGTAAAATCATTGTTTATTGCATGAGTTAATGAAGTAGCAGACCTTGTTGTTAACTCAGGCATCTTGGCATTGCACTTCATCTTCAGGGTTTTCCCAGATCCTGTGTAAGATTTAAAATCCTTGTCAGCGTACTCCAAATGTGGGGCAACACCTCCCCATACTTGCCTCCACGATAAAGCGAAAATTGAATTTTTTTTCTCAACATACAGAGAGTGAAAATGGAAGCGCAGAACGTGGTTCTTCGGCAGTCGACTATCCGAAAGTAACATCTGTCACGGTAAAGGAAACAGCAGGTTCTTCTCTCCTGTAAGTTAAGACCGATGAAGCTTATGTTGTTACTATTGATCACATTTTACGCATTGTATTTTTGTTATCGATAAAGTTTTTTTTATGATCGAAGACAAATTTTCACCTCTATAAACTGACACAACAGGGCGATGATCCCTGAAGCCTTTTTCTAAGATCTTTTTTAGTAAGAGAATGTATTCTAAACAATGATCTTGGGACTACCTATTTTGCTCGGCCGTTATTGCTGTCTTTGGTATACGTTTACTTGCGAAATTCATTCACGAGACTTGGGATGCTTTTGTTATGACAGTTTTCAAGAAGTGCAGTTGAAGTGGTTTTTTCTCCCATTCCTGTAAAGACTTTTAAAACTTAGAAATTTTCATGCGATGAAAATGGACTCTTTTTTGGCTATTGATGACAACAATATCATTGAATCTTTTTCCAAACTTTTTTTTTTACAAAGTATTGAAATTAACACATTCTCAATCTATCAATAGCATTTTATTTCAAGCGGTTTGACTTAGGATTTGATTGGCTGATTTGGCCACCAAGCACCAGACTTTCGTTTTCAAGCTATTTTTTCGTAACGATCTTATTCAGTCTTTCCCTGTTTGAGGCATTGATGTGCTCATTTGATGAAAGGGTCACGAAGTGGTAGTTTCAATTTTTCAAGATTCTTGTGGAAATTCCGTTGATTCCAGAATTTTTGCCCAAAAATCTATCCAAAACCAGATAGCTTTAGCTCCACAAAAATATTGTGAATGTTTAGTTCATTTGAGAAGGCTGCTCAAGCAATCGTGGATCTTAATTATGTTTGTGAGCAGTTATTTATAAAATTTAGGTTGCTTGAACTTAGGTTGCTTGATTAAGGGATATCTAGTGATCAGGTCTTTTGTATACACGATGCAGTAAATTTAGTTGGGCATCAAGGAAAGAAAAACATTTATGCCAAATGCTTTTGTCGCTTAGAAAACTATCCTTGATTAAGGATGCCATTTGTGGTATTGAATAGGAGTTTAACGTTGTTGACAATGGATTTCATTTTGTCCACTACTCTGTAATTATTATTATTATTATTATTATTATTGTTATTATTATGTATCTTTGTTGTGTTTCCATATCGCTGCCTTGGATCTTACAGTGACCAGCACTGTTCTCCAAATGAAAAGGTAAGTTTAACATGTCAAGTTATATACAGTCTGAAACACATCCTTAATTAATATACAGTCTGAAACACATCCTTAATTTGTTGATAACGTAGACTTGCGTTATAAGATGTTTTATGTTGGCGCATTATATGAGAGATAGTCGCAACATTTAAATATTTTATGTTTTTATCAATCATATCAATTGCTCTTTTTGGCCTCAATTTTCATGAATTATGACTGGCTGGTAAATAAAATCAAAACTGCTCTCTATCCTCACCAACTCAAATCAAATGCATAGTGGCCTGGTTATTGACAGGCAAGTAAGCAACCATTAGAGTGTTTAAGAGTTATGCACTAAGTTATGTTTCTTTGTAGAGATTTTGATTAAACCTCGTCAAACAAAATTTAGTTTTTTAACATGTATTAATTGAGCGAATCACATGACAAGTGAAAGATGGCGCAGAAGTGGTAAAGTTACTAAGGGTCCCACCCATAAAGTTTTCTGTACCTAGATGTCATGTTTCCGTTCAGTAATTACAGATTTAAGAAAGTCAGTCATACATTAACATGCGCTGCGTGTAACTGATTTGTGCTCGCCCTCATTTAATGTCAATTTTCGTCTCTTTATGAAAACAGACAAATGATATCATGAAATGTTCTAGGTTTGATAACTCGATTTTTTTTATCATTGCAGACGCTAAGTCCCCCAGAGTCTCATGTAGTATCTTTGAATCTCACACAAGAAATACAGGGCAACCCTGCATTGCCCTCCATCAGTTCCAGTTCATCACCTCGGCCACCTGAAGTCTCAGAGGAACAATTACTCTCTACTTCGTACCGAGAAAAAACAGAAGTGTACCAAACACCAGTGGAGACTGGTGAGTTATCATACATTTTTTCACCTCCTGCTGTTATTCAAACATTGGGAACACAAAGAGAGTCTGATGGTGCTTTGGCTCAAACACCTAAAACACCCTCACTGGAGTACATATTTTCACCACCACTGACGCGCTCTATGGCGAAACGCAGGTCTTTTGGAATGACCCCTTCTGACTTATCTGGAAGGTGAGTCGTGTTTGTATTAAAAACGTTTGCTAAGTTTTATCATTTATGTTTTTCCTACCATATTACTTGTTATGCACTATGTCTAAAAAATTTGTCGTTAGCAGCCAGAAGAAAGATGAGAAAGGAGTAAAGATGATGAAACACTGATATAGTTTCCTTTGACAAATTGGCAATCAAAACCCTTCCGCTATTAAGACGCAGGTACAGAAAGCTAAAGTTAGGGGTGTGTTATGGTTTTAGCAGTTTTTAACATCGTTGCAACACTGAATAGAAAATTATGTTCACAATGATCCATCAAGCAGTGGATTGTTTTAAACTTCCCTAACATTTTTCTCTCCTTGCAGAAGACAAGTGACCAGACAATATACTCCTTACCAGTCTCCTTCTAATAGTCCAATCTCTTTCGTCTCACCCATAACCCAGCCGAGTGTATCCCCACGCAGCTCTCGAAAAAAAATTGTACGTTTGCCAATGCATTCTATGACTCTGCGATCAAGAAAGTGTCCCGGAAGACCTACACGAGCTGCAAAGCTACCTCACACTAATTTGTAATCGGCTCATGCAGTGCCGGTGATGGAAAGTACATTACGGGAGGTGTGCACAAGCTCTCATCTGCTAGTCAAGACTGTAGAATACATTAACAAATTTTTCCCGTTATGAGTTAATTGACAGGTTTAGTTTGTCTATGCAAAGGTGTGTGTGACATTTTAGTAGGGTAACATGATGTTTTGCAATAAATATACCGTATTTGAAAGGGATTCATGGCGTTACGTGTGATTGTGAGGAGGTTTAGAGTGTTGACTCAAGATTACAGCTGATGAATGATAATAATAACAATATTAATAATTCCTCAATTTACTACTCCCCCAGTTGGGCTTTCCAGAGCCAGTAAAAGCTAACTGAAAACAAATAATTAAAAAAACACAATGGGTGGGTTATTTACACGTGCAATCAGTGGACCTCAGTAGGACCAGGCCAAAGCGCAGCCAAAGAGGTGAACTAGAAGCAACCGAGAACAAGTACCATGAGGTGCAAGGAGGAGGGCTTGAACCCAGGAACACTAGAGTACAAGTCCAACGCCTCAACCACTTGGCCACACATTTACAAAATGTGCAAGATCCTTTTCTGTCCTCCCTCAAGAGGATAGACATATGCTTAGATAGCTTATCTTAAAGTTAGGCTACCCTTACATTATTTTCATGCCACCACAGTTAAAAAAAAGCATACAGACTGGATCATAGAACCTACCGTAATGAAGTAGAAAACCCAGCATAGCGGACATAAAGAATTCAAATCACAAATGCATTTCACAAATGCATCACGCAATCAGTCTTCTTCGCCAACGTTCCACTGAGCGACATAAATTTTTATTGCACCATGATAAGATCTGTTTTAGAGTACTGTGCGCCACAGTATCTTAGTGACGACATTGAACGAGTGCAAAAGAGAGCGCTCTCCATCATTTGTCCTTATGAGTCATATTTCTAATGTTTGGCCAGGTTCGACTTAGCAACCTTGCACACGAGACGCGTGGCTCTGTTTAGCAAGCTTTTCGAGTCTATCACCTCGATTCGTGATCACTGAGAGCGACAGAGTCGTGGTTAAAGTGGCAGTTAAAGGGACAGTGACAGCGATGAAGAGGTAGACATAAACAGAGTGAAATTAAGAGTGACTGTAAAATTTAAAGTGACAATGACAGAGGCAGTGACAGTGGCAGGAAGGGTGCGAGTCAGTTACAAAGACGAGTACAGGGACGGCGACAGTGACAGTGGTGAGAGAGAAAGTATATAGATAGTGTGGCAGCAAAAGCTTGGGAATGTAATACTAAAAGCGACAGTGAGAGTGAGAGAGAAAGTATATAGATAGTGTGGCAGCAAAAGCTTGGGAAGGTAATACTAAAAGCGACAGTGAGAGAGAAAGTATATAGATAGTGTGGCAGCAAAAGCTTGGGAAGGTAATACTAAAAGCGACAGTGAGAGTC